TTTACATATCGCACTATGCCTAGACAGGTATTTTGGTGCAATAGGCTACTGGTGGCCTAACCTCTTGACTGATGACTACGATTGTCACGTCAAGTTCATGATAGACTATGATAAGGCATTAAAAGCCCAAGGTGAGGGAGGGGGGGGGGGGGTCGTACCGCGTAAGAGACGATCCGAGTCGCTGTGCAGGCTAGTCAAAACGTAATTATGGTCATTGCTCGCATCACATCACCTCGATAGCCCCCACATAACTTCGGACTACCCTCTTATAGCCCTGCTGCAGTGTCTCGGCTATGACGCGGCATCTGCGGCGCATCGGTGTCATTATGCGGCGTTGGCGGCGCGGTTAACCGGCTAATTAGAGCATCGGTAACGAGCGCCGCTGGCGGCGAGCGCACGCCACTTAAGCGCGCTCGTTTAGATGCGGCGGATCTGTTGGGTGACTTAGCGCAGGTGGTGCTCTGATGGCCGCCGCCATTAGAGACGCTCAGCGGAGACACGGCCGGTGATTAGAGGCGAGCGACGGCCGGCATGCCGCCGACGCTAATAAAGCACCCACTGTGGACGGCGGACACCGCGGCAGCAGCCCGGCGGCCCGGCGGCGGTGGCGGCCCCGGCAGTGGGGGATTGAGTATCGGGAGAGAGACGGTGATGTCTATAAAGGCAGGGACGGGCGTGTCAGTTAATGGCCGCCCCACACTGGAACTCGCATGCGGGTTGCGGTTTTTTTTGGTTTTCGGGTTTCTTCAAAATTAAATAATACAATCTATGCTGAGTGACCCACACTACCATCTAACAAGCGAGTCTGCATGTTCTTAGCTTGCGAGCCACCTTGAATCGCATTCCAAAAATTTATTTTGAGTCAACTTTCGATTTTCCTCGCTGCGAGGTCTGCGAGTTCTGCGAGGTTTGCGGGTTTTTCGTTGGAGTCGAATTTTGGTTCGTTACGCTGGTATTGCGACGATATGTAATTTTCTGAAGGTGTACCGGCTTCACTGCAATCATGAAGTTACCATGAGGACGGTCTAATCACTCTATAAATCAGTATCATGCCCGCAAACTCAAAACCCGCAAACTCGCAACCCGCATGCGAGGTCCAGTGTGGGGCGGCCTTAACCCTATTCCTGGCGGGCTCCGCCGGGACAAGAAACTGGCGGGGGGGGGCGATTCGGCCCCCCCCATCAGATCTCAAAAACTACACATCGCAGCGACAAACGGTAAACGGCATCGGATACGCACGGTCAAGATCTACAATTTTTACAAAGGTCATTTTCAGGTCAGGTCAAAGATCACGTCACAGGGGTCGAAAAAGTCAAAATGGCGGCGCTAGATATGGAGAGAGTTTTTCTCGAAAAACTTTCGAATTAGTAAAGATAGGAACAAACTAAGGGCATCATCGTGATCCTCTCGTCAATCCGCATCGAATGATATATATGTTGACCTCGAAAGGTTAAGGTCAAAGGTTGACCTCAGGTCACGTGACCTCGAGGTCATCATGTATATCATTCGATGCGTCTTGACGAGCTGAACACAATGAGACCATCCACGCGTCTGTATCTTGTTCCTGTACGGAGTTATTGGCCAAAAACCTTTGGTGACCTTTGATGACGTCACATGACCTCACAGCTGCCCAACAGCAAAACAGACCTCAAGGTAGTAAAGGTTGATCGTATATGAAGTCATGTATGGTATATGGGGCCATTCCGACCCGTTTTAGTGGTAAAAACAGGGAGTTGATTTTTCCCCCATTGACTTATAATGGGGAGGTCGCGAAACTGACCTGACCTTAGGTCACCGATATCAAAATTCCGAGATATAAAAATTGCACATACTGGTACCCTAACTAAAGCCTGAAGAGAAGAAATTGATCGGTCAAAAACTCTAGCTCTGGCGTGATTGCAAACTTTTCTGAGGTAGGGTCACCAAACCGCCTCTGGTGACCTGACCTGAGGTCAGATCAACTCAAAATTTTCAGACATGTTGCGTAGAAACCTTTTAGGAAAAGTCAGAAAATTTGAGCTTCCTAGCTCAACGCGTTTGGGAGAAATAACCAAAAAACCTCAGGGGGGGGGGGGTGCTCCTGAGGCCCCCCCGCCAGGAATAGGGTTAAGACTGCACGTGTCAGGAGAAAGACGATCGTCTCCTTAGGTAAAGACAGAGACGGTCATAGGCGTAGGAACAAGGGGGGCCAGGTGGGCAAGTGCCCACCCACTTTTCGAGGTGGGGGGGCCAACCATGTGTTTTGGCCCACCCACTTTTTACTCGAGGCCCCTCGTCTCGATTTGAGAGGACGTCGTCACCTTCCAGAATAAACAAACTCGGTAAAAATAAGTTCCACGAATCCCCATGCACGGACTCCAAGGGGCCGTGATGGATCCAAGGAGGCCCTCTGTTCATACTTGTCAGTCGAAGCCCCTGAGACTGATGGCCTGAGAGGCCCTAGTGGATCTGAGGAGGCCCCAATATCCACACTGGTCTGGGGAGGCCCCTGACACTGGCGGTCTGGGAGGCCCCTGTATCCACACTAGTCAGAGGTCTGAGACTGGTGGTCTGGGAGCCCCCCTACCCTCACTAGTCAGAGGAGGCCCCTCTAGCCTCAATAGTCAGAAGAGGCCCCTGTGACTGATGGTCTGGGAGGCCTATCCATCTACGCTGTAGTCAGAGGCCCCTGAGACTGATGACCTTTACAATCACACCAGACAGAAGAGGCCCATGAGACTGATGGACTGAAAGGCCCTTCTATTCATACTGGCCACAGGAGACCCCCAAAACTTTCGGTCTGGGAGGTCCCTCAATCCGGCACCAGTCAGAAGAGTCCCCTGAGACTGATGGCCTGGGAAGCCCTTATATTCACACTAGGCAGAGGAGGCCCCTGAGACTGATGGTATGAGAGGCCCTCATATTCACACCAGTCAGAAGAGGCCCCGAGGCTGATGGCTGTGAGGCCCTTCTGTTCATATAACTGGCCACTGGAGGCCCCTGAAACCGGTGGTCTGGGAGGGCCCTCTATCCACACTAGTCAGAAGAGGCCCCTGAGACCGATGGTCTGAGAGGCTCTTATATTCATACTGGCCACAAGAGGCCCCTGAGACTGATAGTCAGAGAGGTCCACTCCTAATGAATCTGAGGGGGCCCTCTATCCACATTTACACTTTTCTAGGGAGGCCCCCGAGACTGATGGTCTGAGAGGCCCTTTTATTTATACTGTCCACAGGAGCCCCCTGAGATTAATGGTCTGAGAGGCTCTTCTATTTATACTAACCAGAGGAGGCCCCTAGGATTGATGGTCTAACAGGCCCTTCTATTTATACTAGCCAGAGGAGGCCCATGAGACTGATGGTCTGAGAGGCCCTTCTATTCAAACTAGGCAGATGAGGCCCCTGAGAATGATAGTCCGAAGAGCCATGCGGCGGCAACTGGCCGTGGCCATATTTCGGATCGGTAGGGCCCCACAGAGCTCATGAGAGCACCTCAAAGGTTCCTAAGTAGACACGCTTATCCCCATAAGGGTGCCACGCCGGCTTCTGAAGGCTCCTTGTAGGCATCTAAGGGCCCTTTCCGGCCTCTAACGGCTCCACCCGCCTGTGATGGCTCCACACCAGTGTTTATGAGTGCCACACAGCGGCGCCTTTGAGGGTCATACTAGTGTCTCTTAGGGCCATATATCGGTGGCTCTGGGGGCCCCACACCGGCGCCTCTGTGGGCCACCACACCTGTGCATCTCAAGGCTCTATAGGTACTTACATCTGAGGGACCTACACCGACACCTCTGAGGGCCCCACACCAGTATCTCCGAGCTCTGAAGGCCCCACACCGGTGACTCTGAGGACTCATCGGCTCCTGAGAGCACCATGTTGATGTTTTACGGCTCCCCACAAGGCCACTGAAGGCACCACACAAGCTCTCACTTAGCGCTGATGTCCATGTACCGGCCTCTGAGGGATTTAAGCCAGCGCATTCATAGCTCCACACCAGCAATTGTAAGGGCTTCACACTGAAGCATCTGAGGGTTCCACACCGGTGTCTCTAAGGGCTACATACCGGCATCTCTGAGGGCCCCATACCGGCGTCTCCGAGGGTCCACATCTGGCGGGCACCCATCAGCGACTGAAGGTCCCACACTGTAGACTCCGAGAGCCCCATCTGCGTCTGGGAGCACCATGCCGTCTCTAAGAATCACAGCGGCTCCTCCGTACGAAAGATGGGCGTCCGCATGCCAAAAGGGAGCGGTTCTGAGACAGTAGGGCACCTACGTGCAATAGAGGGGCGCCTATGATGCCCATAGGGGCGCCTAAATGCGAAAGAGGGGCGCCTGTGAGGCCTACATATATGGGCGTCCACATGCAATAGGGGTCTGCAATGCAATTGATCAATGCCATGGGGGTGCATTCATAACAAACAGGGGCGCCGGCATGGCAGAGAGGCGCCTTCAGGCTTCAAGTGTCCATAAAAGAGAGACGCCTATGATAAGCGCACATTGTATGCGATTGTGGAACATATAGGGATGTCTCTGATGACTATACATAGGGCGCTTATATGCCAAAGAGGGCGCCTATGAAGCTAATGGGGGCACCTGGGAAACGAGGAAGACATTTGTGTAAGGGTTTTCAGGGGTCATGCGCCGTTTGCGGCATATAGTTTCTAAAAAAAAATCGGAGGGGGAATAACTTTTAAAAATGGTGCGGACTTTCCGCTCTGTTCGCTTAAGCGGCTACGCCCCTGGGTTCATCTGCCCGATCTCAGAAGCTAGATTTGGAGGTCATACCTACTTGAAAGCAGCCAGCAGGACGAGGCAAAAGTTGGAGGCCCCTGAAAATAGGAGGCCCCCTGGAAAAGGAGGCCCCTTGACAGGGTGGCCCACCCACTTTTCATGACGTTCCTACGCCCGTGGAGACGGTAGTGCGATTAGAGGAAGCAGCGGCAAATCCCCATAAACCTGACTGTTAGCAAAACGCTTCATGCTTATTTGATACACAACTCAGACGAAATGCATGACAATGAACTAGGTAAATGGATGTTTTATTTGCGCAATCCTTTTATATAAAAAACTTATTGTAGGAATCCCTAAAAGATACGCTAAGCAATCGTGTCCACTCGCTTTGGAGGTTTCTCAAGATTCACTTCGTTTTAAGCCATTATTCGAGAAAATATTCACAAAAGGCACTCCCTGCTGGTTTCCACAAACTCAGCGAAATACGAGCATCTGTCACGCTTGGTGATAGTGTCCAAACTTTACCAGGTAAGCACAATGATAAGTTCTCCATATACAGATTATCTGCATACACCTTGTAAGAACCGCGTAAGCACATACCTTCGGACATTTTTTGCGGTTACCGAAATTGTCTTCAAGCGTCTGGTGTAAGGCATAATCCGAGTTAAAACTAGCGGTACACATCACTCATGCGATCAACACGATTATTCATTAAGTCCGCTGTCTCGCCGAGAGTGGGTTGCAATGATCGACTGCGGTCAGCAGTAAACCGAGAGTCGTCACCACCTGTGGCGGACGGCCGGGACAACTCGGCCCTGCTGAGCCCGGCAGGTCCGGGTTCGGCTCAGCTCAGACTCAGCCCGGCTCACCGCGCTCAGCTCGGCTCAGCACAGCTCACAGAACTCTAGCCGGACGACATGTAACGGTTATCGCGCATTCCGCATTGGCCGCGCTGTGGTGACGTCATGCGACACAGACAGACAGACAGACAGACAGACAATCTGCCCCGGGTCTACCCCAACCGGCTGGTGCCATGTGCACTGTGCACTCGGCTGTGGGATCGCACAGCTGCAGCCGTGCGGACGGCGCCGGCCTCGCGTCACGGACACGGCAGGTAAAACGCGGTGACAGAACCACCGGGCAGAACCGCTGAGTGCATGACGACGGAACCATTACGCCAATATAGCACCGAGTACGAAAAGGATTAGGGCATCAGGGCCCACAATCTCAAAACAGCAAACACACCCACGGAGTACAGTGTCTCTCTATTCGGGCGGGACTCCGGCGCTATCTTCCCGTCCAGTGATAATACATCCTGCCGAAATGTTCACCAGCCTCTCCAGCTACTTGACCATCATGCGCGTGGCCTTGATGGAGTAGTTGGGGCCCTTCCAGTCGAGCCAGTTAATGCCGTCCGGTCCCTCGTGAGCGCCGTTGTGGGCCACGCCATTCAGGTTTGCCTGCGGATAAACGCCGAGCTGTCACTTAGGGTCATACGGTCCTAAGATAGGGGCGCATGCTTTTTAGGGCATTAGGCAAGCTACGATACGCCACCGAAGCGAATTGCAAGGACAAAAATTTCGGTTTCAAATGGTTAAATCCTTTTTCAAATCCATCAAAAACATTGGAATAAAGCTTGTATGATGAGCGGTGGCTTGAGGAGCACCTAACGATACAAGTTTTTACCGTATCCTTGTGTATTTGTTAGTGGCGATTATGATGCCAAGCAGTCGTTTGATGCCGGCTTTAATCCGCTTTCCAATGCGGATCTAGCAGATGAGTTGAGTGCTATCGGCACACCTGTTCAGTTTCAGAAACGGGAAGCGGATCCGCATTAGTGCGGCGGCCAGACTCGGCTGCAGTTGACTCATGGCATGGCCGGCGGGTCGGCGCGAGGATCCGGACCGGCCGGGGATCCTCCGATCCGGACCCATATCGAGCCGCCATCTGTGCAGCGTCCGCTTCCGCCGAGCCGGTGAAGTCACTGGTCGGCGCTCCACGGAACCCCCGCCGTCCGGGCGGCCGGGCGACAGCCGCCAGATTAGCACCGTTCCGGCCCGGCCGGCGATATTTTCACCCCGGGCCTGTGAGCTCTACCTACTTGAAGATCAGCCGATTGGAAAGCCGGCAGGTGGTGCTTTATCATCCGATTGTCGAAATCGCTCCAAACTGACATATCCTTCCATGAAACGGGGATATGCTGGTGTTATGAAGTGTCAGATATATTTTGTGTTGTAAGGTTTAAGACATACCACGAAGGTAAAACTTTACTTAAGCTCTTCGTCCGGGACTGCAGATGGCAATGGGCAGTGCATGAGGAGGGATCGGCCCTGTACCCGGTCTGTGACTGAATGACTGTGACCCAACTGACTGTAACTGTGTCCGAGGCTGCGGAGTCGGAGTCGGAGTCGGAGTCGTTCGGAGTCGACAGTTGTGACCGGAGTCGGAGTGGGAGTCGATTTTGGAAATCGGAACCGTAGTCTGAGTCGAGTCACCGAAAATCCATCGAGTCGGCCCCGCCAGGTCTGCGGAGTCGGAGTTGGAGCTGGAGTCGTTCGGAGTGGACAATTCTGCCCAGAGTCGGAGTCGGAGTCGGAGTCGCCGAAAATCCATCGGCTCCGCAGCCCTGACTGTGTCTGCAACTGACTGAGACTGAGACTGTGACTGACTCACTGTGACTATGTAACCCGTTACTGACCCTTCTGCAGGCGCCAAACCACCATCCACCCCTGTGGGCGCGGTTGTCAGTGGACTGTGACTGTGCCTCAAACTGTGACTGTGTGACCTTATACTAACCCGTCGACAGGCGCCGAACCACCAGCCGGCCTTGTGCGCGCGTGCACAGTTGCCGTAGCGCAGTCGGTCGTTGTCCTGGTCGGCCGTGGAGAACTGACGCTGGTTGTCCATCGTCATCGAGTCACCTGGGGACAAGAGGACACGGTGAAGGTACTTCGACTGACTTTCTCATAAATATCGTAGTCGGTAAAATCTATGACACTGCCGAGCATGAATGCGTTTGGTAGAAAATGTACCGACCATAAGTCAATGTATAGGTACTCGAGTATACCGATGCCAGGCACCTGGCGCCAGTACGTTCGTCTTGCCCCTTTTCCCTTCTCCCACCACCCGTCTGTCTCCCGGAAACGTCTCTCTCTCTCTCTCTCTCTCTCTCTCTCTCTCTCTCTCTCTCTCTCTCTCTCTCTCTCTCTCTCTCTCTCTCTCTCTCTCTCTCTCTCTCTCTCTCTCTCTCTTTCTCTCTTTCTCTCTCTCTCTCTCTCTCTCTCTCTCTCTCTCTCTCTCTCTCTCTCTCTCTCTCTCTCTCTCTCTCTCTCTCTCTCTCTCTCCAGACCTGCACGGCTGGGCCGGGCCAACATTCCAGCAACATTAGATAGTGTTCCATTACTGTCCATTGCCGCGTCTAGATCGGAGCCGGACAGATTATTCGATTAAACGGACAGTGCAAAGCGGATCAACGTGATGCCCGGAGCCGTCTCAGCTGCCATGGGGCCGGCCTAATGCATTGGTCAGGACATGGCAGGCCCGGATCCGCCTGCAGTTCCGCATTTCGGTCAGATCAGCGCGGCGTTTTGTCCATTTTTGTGCTGTAATGCTATTAGGCCAGCGCGGCGGGCTGACGCGCCGTCCCCGGCCACAGATGATCCGGCCGCGCCGCTCACACGGGCGGCCATTTTTACTGTCGGCGGCCGTCAGACGGAGCGGATTAGCCGCCTATAAGCCGTCACCCAGAGCCCGACTCGCATCGCTTACATGCAGGCAATTAGAGCCGAAAGAAACACCACGTGTTACATCGAACCGTTCTCGGGAATATCATAATCGGGGCTTTCGGTTCCCAGAGATGTTGAAAATCCAGGAGATGTTCATGACCCGTTTTTGGACAGCTCATCAAAGGATCATGAGCTGATGTTAAGTCATGTTGCACTGACGCTACCATGCTCCTTTGAGGCAGCCTGCATTTAACAGGAGGAATAATGGAAGCATGGTACCAGTAAAACGCCTTTTGGGCGAAGAACGAGCGAGCGAGATAGTGAGCCCTGCACGTGCGGAAGGGCGAGAGGGTACTTCCAACGGGGCTTGTGCAAAGCACCCTTCTTACCGGTCGCTAGCGGTGTGCCAAATTTGAACGCAATCGGCCCAGCCGTTCCTGAGATCTGGAAGCGGCATTCTGCACGCGCGCACGTGCAAACGGGGTCCAAACTGACTTTTGCACGGCACCCTACTGACCGGTCACCAACCGTGTACCAAATTTGAGCGCAATCGGCCCAGCCGTTCTCGAGATCTGGAAGCGCCCCCTGCACGTGCGCACGTGCAGTAGCACCCTAACCGCAACACATGAGAATGCATTGCCTGGTGGGTGCCTACCTGTATGCCAAGTTTCAGCGAAATCGCCCCAGTAATTAGCGAGTTATTGAAATGGGAACAAATTTGGCACCTCTTCTTTTTGTATTTTGCACGTGCAGTGGGGGTCACTCACATAGATCAAGAGTATCCGACCTTTGGAAGAAGGGATGCAGCTACCCTACAAAAATTACCGCAAGACAATCGCACATAGCGGCTGCTGAGATATGAGCCTCTCAAAATCACTACTTTTGCAAAACGACTTGAACACCCTTGACTTTTCACGTGGCACGTGCCACGACGGTCACTGAGATGTGTCAAGAGTAGTCAATTACGGGGTAGAAGGGATGGGGCTACCCAGCAAAAAAGACCGCAGGCCAATCGGTCCAGCGGTTGCTGTGATATAAGCCTCTCAAAAGCGTTACAGGCCAGGCCGGGCCGCTCATACTGAGATTTTCCCGTTATATTGAAGACTTCGCTTCGCTCGCTGCGCTCGCTCGCTCGTAACAAATATGTGAGGCCTGGCCATAGACCTCTGTATACCTGACCTAGCCGAAATCGCCTGAGTCCAAGCCGAATGCATTACGTTTGAAACATGGGCATATCACAGTAAATGGAAATTCTTGCTTTACACATCAAGCCCAAAGGTGGTAGACGAGCGAGATAGTGAGCCCTGCACGTGCGGAAGGGCGAGAGGGTACTTCCAACGGGCTTGTGCAAAGCACCCTTCTAACCGGTCGCTAGCGGTGTGCCAAATTTGAACGCAATCGGCCCAGCCGTTCCTGAGATCTGGAAGCGGCATTCTGCACGTGCGCACGTGCAAACGGGGTCCAAAATGACTTTTGCACGGCACCCTACTAACCGGTCCCCAACCATGTACCAAATTTGAGCGCAATCGGCCCAGCCGTTCTCGAGATCTGGAAACGCCCCCTGCACGTGCGCACGTGCGGTAGCACCCTAATTGCAACACATGGGAATGCATCGCCTGGTGGGTGCCTACCTGTATGCCAAGTTTCAGCGAAATCGCCCCAGTAATTACCGAGTTACTGAAATGGGAACAAATTTGGCACCTCTTCTTTTTGTATTTTGCACGTGCAGTGGGGGTCACTCACATAGATGAAGAGTATCCGACCTTTGGTAGAAGGGATGCAGCTACACTATAAAAATTACCGCAAGACAATCGCTCTAGCCGCTGCTGAGATATGAGCCTCTCAAAATCACAACTTTTACAAAACTGCTTGAACACCCTTGACTTTTCACGTGGCACGTGCCACGACGGTCACTGAGATGTATCAAAAATAGTCAATTACGGGGTAGAAGGGATGGGGCTACCCAGCAAAAAGACCGCAGGCCAATCGGTCCAGCGGTTGCTGAGATATAAGCCTCTCAAAAGCGTTACAGGCCGGGCCGGGCCGGGCCGGGCCGGGCCGGGCCGGGCCGCTCATACTGAGATTTTTCCGTTATATTGAAAAGACTTCGCTTCGCTCGCTGCGCTCGCTCGCTCGTAATAATAATTGTCCTCCTTGGGCTTAAGAAATGAGAGCTTTTTGTTGAATGATGTTGAGGGTTTCTTTGAAAATGAGCCCCATTATTATTAAAAGATAAGCAAGTAATAGCCTTTGGCTCATTGTATAATAGACAAAATTCTTTTCCATTTCTTTTGTCTATTATACAATGAGCCAAAGGCTATTACTTGCTTATCTTTTAAATGAGAGCTTTACTTAATTGGCCACTGATCGATAATGTGAGGGCATCTTCATTGTCAACAGAGTAGCAGTTATGTATGTTGTGGCATCTTAGCGAGAAAGTAGCGATTATGACTACCGTAAACCGGGGTGAGTTGATATGGATTTTGAGGTTTTTCTAGATTTCTTTAAAAGTCACATTCATTTACGGAATTATTTTTGTGCCAGTTTCATGGCACATGCCTTGGGCAGGCAATCAGCAAAAATGAATAAAAAATGTATATATCAAGCCCCTTTTTTAAAACGCCAAATTTCATATCAACTCACCCCCTGGGGGGTGGTGAGTTGATATGGTTTTGGATTTTTCAAAATTTCTCGGCTAAAGAAGCTCAGAGGTGAGTTGATAAAATGCCAGTGTTTAAAAAAAGGATGTGAGAAGTGAGAACACATCCTAAAAGAAACCATCAGAAAAATTGTAGTAGTTTGGCAGCAGACCTCACATTCATGAAAACGCAATCATGTCCAACACAGCGCTATCAAAATGGCTTGATTTTAGCAGCATCATTTTTTCGCTTTATGATACTTAGTTTTACTTAGAACATTCTGAACTTGGCTAGTCACGTGTCCTCAAGCCAACGGTATCAAACCTGGCAAAATATTTTGGAATTACAAGTGTATTTTCTTGTAATTAAAACACATTGTCAGTTGCGGGTCAAGGTTGATATGCCTCTGACAGAGATAATGGATTGAAATGAAAGAATACATATACTTCTGAGCTTTTGTTGACTGGTAGTCAACAAAATATTAATGAAGTGAAGTGAAGCGAATCTAATTCGGACTGTATTCTATAAGGTGAAATAAGCGACATAAAACAGAATTCGGCATCAAAAGCCAAAATTAACCCTCTCACTTATAGGCGGGCGAACGGACCACCTCTGCTTTTCGCACATAACTCGCGCAAAAAGCGGCCGATCAGGACGAAACTTTCAGTACCTCTCGAGTTTATCAATTTTACACATGTTCTAAAGATTTCATGACCCTGACTCAAATGGTTTTTGACTTGTGACCTGATTCTCGAGACCATGCTTGGCCGGAATCGCGATTTGGCGTAGTCGGCTCACATTATCCGCGCATTTCCAGTCTTTTTGTGATTGTAACGTCCAAACATGTAAATGATGTTGGTCCCAAGCAGTATTGTGGGTGTCAACTGTCAAGGTCACCTGAAGGTCAGGTCAGGTCATTGACCTTTGGTGACCTCGGTTCACTTTTTGGAGTTTTACATGTTTCTAGGGTAGTTTTTTCGGGCCGATTTCGAATTTAACATGCATTTGATCAGTTATAAAGCAGTTTTAGTGCCTCCGTAACATGTTACGACACCGTCAGTGGTAGCTGACACTTGACACTCCCTATGGATAGCCGGCAGGACACCTACTGGTTGACCTGACCTAATCTGAACTGGCCTAAATGTACGAAGACATCTGTGATCAAAACTAACATGACATTCGTGATCAGCAACAGCCAAAAAATAATAAACTCGCTTTACGAACTTCAAATAACCCCCTATTTTCCCGACTTCTGGGTAATTGACCTGGCCTGGAAGGTTAACCAATGACCTAGGACCTTAAAGTTGGTTATCATAGGCTTCCTCGCGTCTCGGGCAACACGCTCATTTTTTTCCGCGAAGCTCTAGCTCCACCAGGGGCCAAACGACGATGGGATTCCAATTTCCAACGGACCCCCCCCCCCCCTATACGTTAAACGCTGGCAAAACACGAATACGGGCGAGGGCTAAACACCAGTCAATTTCTTTACATTGTTTGTTCCATTTCATTTTGTCACTCATTCTCGGTTGGCAACTGCCAAGCAGGAAAACTAATCAG